GGACCCACAATTTCTGTTGGGAAAGTGTTGGGTACTGAAGAAATAGTTGGTGGATATAACCCATTTGCATGGGGTTCCCGAAGTGGTCCTATTAAAACTAAAGAGAGTTTTATATTTGCATTAGTTAATAACATAGATAAGAATATAGTAAGTTTTGTTGGTGATGATAGTTCATCTGCTATTCAGGATAATAGTAATGTTTTTCCTACTTTTGGAAGTGGCACTGATTTATATTTTGGATATGATGGGAATCGCCGAGGATATGCCAACAAACGTACATACCAACTTTCAATAAGACATGAATCGGGTCATTTTGAATGGGTTGATTGGGAGGTGTTTTTAGTTTCAAAATCTTGATTTAAATTTGGACTGCGTTAGAGTTATCAAGTTTTTTATGAAATTGTTGTGTTTAGTGAAAAATAAATACTACTTCAATATATAATGCCCAGCCACAACAGCAGCATGAACCATATACATTTGTTGTTTAGCATTAAATTTTTAATTTTAACAATTTACATCATATTACTATCTTATTTAGAAAAGGAACAAAGAGGCGAGGACAGTGTTACAATTGACAACCAAAGTAACGGCAATTTTTTCCTATTTAATATTAGTCATTAGCGTTCGTTGTAAAGCAAAAAGTTGCTTCATTGTATAAGACGGCATTTTTTCCTGTGTTACATATCATATGATCAGATAGTAATACTATTTTGTGCTTCTTCATGCTTTTAGCTCTTTGATATACTGTGAAGCAGCGACATGACAATATTCTGATGCTGATTGACAAATAGAACATCGTTACGGTTCTGTTATTAACTTGATTGAGGTGCTATCGTGTGGCATCGTTACGGCAACTTTTTACAAAAAAGCGTCAATGCAAGGTAGTGTTGCGCATCCTAACTGGGTGATGATATAGAATACGTATTAAACTTTTCATGTTAACGCAGCTGGTTATTAGACATCTCTATTTGTAGTTGCATCTCTCTATATAACCCAGATTTCGGAATGCGTGTCATGTTACACAGGCTTGACCACCAGGAAAGACACTCACCATCGCTTAGCAATAAAACCTTATAATTTGAACGTCTTGGAAACTCTGTAAACAATGAATAACTTTATTGATTTGTCTTCGAGTCTTTCAGCCGATTATGAGAAACTGTATGAAAGTGGCAAATATACCGATATTTCAATCCATGTTGGGAAGGAGCCAAATAGCAAAATTTTTCTCGCTCATATGGTGGTATTATGTACAAGAAGCAAATTCATTGAGAATAGCCTGACCGAGAATAAAGAGACGTCTGAAGAGACTCAAAAGACAACCATAGCGTTTGAAGATATAGCACCTGATGTTTTCGAAATATTGCTCAGGTAGTGTTTTATAAATTGTTAAGAAGTTGTTAAAAATTTTTACACACAATATCAAATGTTCCCCATTCTTAATAGGTATATTTACACTGGACAAATGTCCTATGATTCATGCAAGAATATTGGTTGGCTCACTCTTTTGGATGGAGCTAGCAAGCTTGAATTACTTGATCTCCTCACTGCAATTGAAACTTACTTGATTGATAAAGAAAGTGAATGGGTTCAACAGAATGTCATTACAGTTCACAAGTATGCCACAACTGCAGTCTCTTTAAACAAACTTCTGGCCTATTGTAATCGAATTATGGTTTCCCACCTGGATATTCTCTTTAAATCGAATGATCTTGCAACCTTACCAAAGGAGACTTTGATCACTCTTCTCAAGAGTGATGAGCTGAGCATGGATGAAGATGATATTTGGATGTCAGTCATACATTGGGCCAATAAACAAGTGCCTGAACTAGAACTTGGAACTGATCCTGATGACTGGTCATCTAATGGCACTAACACAATTAAAGATATCATTGCAGATTGTATTCCCTACATAAGATTTTTCAGTATCTCTCCTCCCAAGATTGCTTTATATAACGATTTATTACCAAGTAAATTGCGCCGTGACTTACTTAAGTATCATATGGATAAAGAATATAAATCAAACACTCCTATTCCACCACCAAGAACAAGGCAAGGATGCATGCCAAAGGGAGAACAAGGATATGATATTGATTCAGTTATCATTGACAAAAATCAAGCAATATGGATCTCATCAAAGATTGTGGAATCAAAGCAGCTTCAAGAAAATCAAAGGATTGCTAAGCAAATTTATAAATTTACTCTACTTTATAGACCAAGTAGAGATGGTAATACAGTTGCAAAATTTAGGGAATTGTGTAATGGCAAAGGACCCACAATTTCTGTTGGGAAAGTGTTGGGTACTGACGAAATAGTTGGTGGATATAACCCATTTGCATGGGGATCTCAAAGTGGTAGGATTGCCACTGAAGAAAGTTTTATATTTGCATTAGATAATAACATAGATAAGAATATAGTAAGTTTTGTTGGTGATGATAGTTCATCTGCTATTAATGATAATAGTACTATTTTTCCTACTTTTGGATATGGCTCTGATTTATATTTTGGGTATGACAGGGATCACCAAGGACATGCCAGCAAACATACATACCAACTTCCAATAAGACATGAATCGGGTTATTTTAAATGGGTTGATTGGGAGGTGTTTTTAGTTTCAAAATCTTGATTTAAATTTGGACTGCTTTAGAGTTATCAAGTTTTTATGCAGTTGAGGAAATTGTTGTTGTATTTAGTGAAAAATAAATACTACTTCAATATATAATGCCAAGCCATTGACAGAAGCATGAACCGTATGTATTTGTTGTTTATCATTAAATGTTATCCCTATTACTATCTTATTTAGAAAAGACATAATAATAAGGTGATGAGGCAAGAACAACATTACAATTGACAACCAAATGTAACGATATTCTATTTGTCAATCAGAATATTGTGTCATTACTTATCAATATGGTGATATCCTAGGCAAACACAAGCGATGAATTTATAACAAAAAAAGTCACTATTACTATCTGATCATATGATATATAACACAGGAAAATGCCTAGTGTTTGTGTACTTACGTATGTTACTTCGAAAACGAATAATAAAGTAAACGAAGTAAATTTTGCTGTGAACATGTTATCCGTTTGTAATGTATAACCTTATAATGAATGATACTATAATAGTAAAAACAACTGTAATTGCACATATATATCAAGTATAGAATGAGCATATCTGTTTATTCTAAGAAATTAAGCTCTTAAAAAAGTAACTATTAGTCTCGGTTTGCTACGCATATTAATATTGGTCAGTTGAGAAGCTTGCATCTAACTTTGTACATTTGTTAGACACAACTTTACGTAATACATTTTTTGTTCTAATCGTCAGTGGCAAATACTTAGAACAAAAATGAATAAATGTTGTCGAAAATATTAGCACATTGCTTGTAAAATTATACCATGAGAAATCGCAGAATAGTTGATATACAATATATTGGGAGGCAATCATTTCGTCGACAATCATTTCACCGACAATCATTTCACCGACAAATCTTCACCAACATTATTTCGAAGTTATCCTTTTTTGGTAGTTAATTGTCGGTGAAATGTACTGTCGGTGAAATGATTATCGATGAAATAATACGGAACCCAGTATATTATGTATATGTATGCAGGAAAACGTTCAGCATAACAATTAATAACTATGTTCTGTTTCCGTCGGTACAATAAATTAGAAGCCAACAAAATTGGCATAAGTATAATTGATTTAATAAGCGTTCCGCACCACGTTGACTGAGTGAACGAGAAAGCAGACGTTAACCAAGAAAAGAAACTTTGTGCTAAGGTGTATTATTAAACCAAACTCAATTCACCATTCAATGTCCAACATATCATACGTCCGACTTTTAATGTAAAGATCTCGTTAACTTGCTTACTAAGAGTTAAACAAATACACCCAGTAAAGCTATAACAAGTAATCTAAAAAGCTTGTTATTAATTGAGTCTGTTTTTTATTTGTCATTAATACGATTTTATGAATTTGGCAAAGGTTTGTTCAAAATCGGGAATTCGAAAAAAAGACACAGGAATGTGTGTGAGCTTTTGGTAAAAACTAGCACGGTCAGTATTAATCAGGTTTAACGTGTAAACATTTCAATAATTTGTTCATATGCCCAAGTCAATCTCATAGCCATCATGTTAACGTTTAATACTGTTACTAATGAAAAGAAAAATATTATTCTATTTATACATAAAAAACAGAAATTCCGACGCGACGATACGATATTTGCTCCTTAGCTTTACGTTTATCACACTTAAACTATCCCGTTTTACTAGATGGTTTGAAACTATTGATTATTGACCTGCCGATAGAACCTAATACTGCTACACCTGCTATAGCTCCGAATGCTACCCACGGACCCACATTAACATTTGTGTCTACCGTATTTGCCACCTCTACCTTCCCTTTTTTATCGATCTTCACATTCGTTTCTACTGTATTTTGTACCGCTACTCCTTTGTTTTCAGATGGTTGCATTGATCCCTCTAGCAGGCGGGTACTTGGGCGGTACTGTTGATTGTTGACGCCCGAATGCAATTTTTCTTCCGTTCTAGCATACGTAATTTCGCTGAACTTGTGCCTCGGATCATGGAGACCATTAAAACATGATTTACAGTTGGAACAAAGGTTGAATTTAGGACAAGAAAGACACTATTAGGTAATAAAAAAAAATTAGTGCTGATTTATAATTTGGAACTTTTCAAGTTAATGTGTTTATACCACCTTATATCTTGTTCCACAGATGAGATTATAACATAAATCGCACGTAGCATCTATACAACAGTTTCCATCTTATCAGTATATATCCATAATGCAAACTTCCAATGCATAGTCAAACGTACGATGAATTACAGAGGCAGAGGCCATGGTAACAATATCAAAAAAGATTGAGTAATTCCGTTAGACGCAACTCTCTAAAGCTGCTAGAAATATTGAAGCGAATAGAGTTTATATAATCAATGTCACGATAGCAATTTTGGCAATCTTATTCTAGAGGCTCAGTTGCCTTTTTTGTTAACATCAATGTCAGG